CTAATATTTAATTAAATAATTAAGAGCTCGTGGTGAGTTAAACTTACAAAGAAGAATTAATCTAAGAAATGAATATAGAATACAGCAAGAGAAGAATACAGTACAAACAGCTTACTCAGCCGGCGCTGGTTATGTTATAAAGATTAACGTTATTTTGTGATGACCCGTACAAGCGCAACACCCGCAGAACATCTTCCTAATATGCGTGTATAGTAACCATTAATTAGCAGTCTGACGTCCTTCCTGGTCGTTAATAGAAACTAGGATGATTAAGGAAGCTACATAATTAAGGCGCATTGTGCGAAACAACGGCTTGTCCGTGCGATATATTTGCAGGTAGCGCTATGCAAACAAGCGAGATTATGTTGTTCGATATTCTTTCGTTACATAAATTTGTCGAATAGTAAGCCACTTAAACTTTCCTTGAAATCTCTTGGTAAGTAAATCCGCGGTAACGAAGTTGTGGGAAAAGAGCGCATCATTTTATATAAGGACGCACCACTTTATGTAAAACTCGACTTTATATAAACCCTACCATTTCCTTAACACGTTGTAATTAACAAACGACACTTTTCCTTCTACTGGTAAATGGTGGAATTTGTGTTTGGTTTTACTGCCTCGTTAAAAATGTTCATCCAATGACGACGAAATAATCGGACCATGAATTATAAATAAACGTGAAAAAAAATTATAATTTCTTTATGGAAAGAAAATGGTATGAAGGGAGAGAATGTGTGTGTTTGTTTGTTTGTTACGCAGCGAGTTAATTACAATTGGTCTCCAATATGCAAAGGAAGTAATTGCAATTATCAAATATAAATATGAAATTCGTTTCTGAAGGTTTCTTACCTTTTTTAAGAAATGCTGTAAATGAGTTGAAGAAATTTTTTAATAATTTTATATTTACGTTGTTATATGTATATTGTTGTTATATGTATATTGTCAGAGCACTTATTAAAATGAGCGAAAGTGAAATTTTTTTACTATTGCAGAGCTTGCTTTTATTCTTATCATAATCAGCGTGCAAGGCTCAACGACATGTAATTTCGAAAGAGTTGCCGGTTTCTTATCACTTATACATCCATGACGGATTATCTCAGAGGTATTCCTCTGTTCCTAATACGCCTTTCTCATTTCCTCATCTTCTCTTAGGACAGCACTTCCAAAATCTTATTATTCTGCAATATATTATTGACTCTTTCACCGGCGACGCCGGTTTCGGTACCTTCTTCGATGCTATTCACTTTAAGAAATAATGTGCAAAATTTGTGATTTCCCTAAAGGTAAAACTTTATTATAAAGTATTCTAAAATAATCCTTAGTAGTTTATTAAAAGTTTTTAGCATTATGTGAATTTTACGAGCGCCGCTCTGGCGAAACTTTGATAGTGCTGGCGGTATTCATCTTTACATTCGCTCTCGTAAAAATTTTGTGTTTTTATTCATCTCTTGATATTCTTTTCTTGATAATTCCTTCCTCTTACTCTTATCTGATAAATGTGTCAGTATCGAAACCAGCGTCTCTACACATTCTTCGAACAGGTACTACCCCAGTCACCTAATTCTAACACAACACATCGAGAATTACGCAGGATAATATTCCCTAGCTTAAGTACAGTACTATACGGCTGTAAGTCTTTAGATACGGAAGCATATGTATCGGACGTGGGTGTATGTGTGTAATGTATATGTCTTTCGCACGCGTACCCACGTAGTTCATTCATTCGATCATTACGAATCGTTCTTTATGCGAGTCGAACAGCTGTCGGTGCGTACGCAATGCGATCGATCGTACGGAGTAGTATGCACGTCTGTTAACAATAACAAGAAAAAATGCTTATTTCTGCAAGCTATCAATCGATTTGTAATAATACTCCATGTCGTTTGTATCCACCTTCGATCTAATAATAACATAAAACATAAATTCAAGTATTTACTGAAAAAAATTTCTGGTTGAAAATGGACGAATCAGAATTTTCTGGTTAAATTTATTGGAATTCTAGTTGAGATAATCAGAATTCTGGTTAATACAATATTTCCGGTAAAATCTACTAGAATTCTTATTTTACCAGAATAATTATTTTGATATATTAATATCAACCAGAATTTTAGTTATCTCAACTAAAATTCTAATAGATTTAACCAGAAAATTCTGATTCGTCCATTTTCCACTAGAATTACTATTTAATCCAACCAGACCATTTTTCTCAGTGTTCCCTTGTTCGAAATTTAATAAAAACTAAATGTAGATTTTATTAAAATAACACGCTGTTTTAATGTTTAAATCATTAATAACTTACTGCGACTTGACATGCAAGAAGATAAATTTCGAACCTAAGTCAACGTTAAGTCAACAAAAGCGTACGATGTACACAAACGGCACGTCACCATCACGATATAGTTCTATTATTCTACCACGGTATAATGTATAATAATTATTACTCTCTACGCGACGTACAACAACGATCATTAGTCTTGTCGTTTTCCATCTTATCGTAGCTGCACCGCGACGTATTGACGACAGTTAGAAAAATTTTGCGCATGCACCGTATATACACGGCGAACTTTCTCCGGCGTGACACGCGCGTTTTCGCGTCACGTTTTTCACGAATGTATATATCTGCTGCAGTCGGCACGAAGATCATCGGAGGGACTCGTCGAATTTATTTATTTTTTTTTTTTTTAAGGAGATGCTCCTGTCTCGGAAGAAAATCCACGGGAGAAAATTCCCGTCGTTGGCTCGCTTCGCGATGGAACGTGTAGAAAATGTAAGAAGTACAAGTTGCGGAAATATTGTCGGCGTAATACTGTCTCTCACACGACGGCGCGAGTTACGAGAGGTACGCGAGGTATCGATTTTTACTGCATTCACGCGCGATTGAATGGGATGTATCGTCCCGCGGAATATATCGTTGCACTAAACATGTGCGTACCCTGGCTGACATTAATATCGGGGGCAACGATAAGCGTCATCGATTTTGGAAGTCCCTGTATTATACGACGGATACTCAAAACGTTTGTTAACCGGTTATCGTTATCGATCGCAATTGATAGCCCATCTACTTAACTTGATTCAAAAACGCGACGTTAAGTAAAAGGTGCCTCGAGCAATCGTTCTTACTGATCGGAAACGTTGCAAAATTGACTCTACATACTTCGACTTCGCGTAGGTTATAAGAGAATATGTGTGAGTGTAACAGTGATGGATGTGGATGCAATATTCTATGATGTCAGGAACTAAGAATTCGGTATTCGTAGTTTCATATTATATTCAAGATCGTGTCTCGTGCGCGATCTTAATGTTATATGGATTTATAGTTGCGATATAAAATTCACACACAATTATCTTACGTGACTCTACACAGGATTTTAAGATCGCACTTCGGATAATCCTGAGTATAAGATTCAACTATGAATATCGCAAAGGAATGATCTTTCGTATATACCGCGTGTTTATTGTCCACGCGTCGGGAATCGTGCGAAATGTTTATTTACCAGCTATCGGTCGTCGTTGGATTTCTCGCGCGTTTCTCTCACTCGTCTTCGAATAATTTCATCGCGTAAATAACCGCGCCTCTAAAAGCCCGTTGTCTTTCTCGCGAACTCTTACAGCGTTACTTCTCTTAAACATGTATCATGTATTTTGCCGCAGCTCTTTAAGATCACGGAAATGTCGGACCATTCGCCGTCGCAATTTCCACTCGGGGTCGTTTTACGTCTATTTTCTTCTCTCTCTCTTTCTTTGCACAATGAACGACTCGCGTGCAGTGCACTCGAGCGTTTCCGGTATATGTGTCTTTATAGGCGTTTACGGGAGCGATGGATTTCGATGTTTTACGAAATGCAATTTTCCACAGTGTCTGCGCGACGTACATTCTTATCGCTATAATGTGACTTATCGTTATGCCCTCTGCGATTCTCAGGTAACGTTCGACGCGAACTATGATGCTTGTACTTCGTACAATGTTTGACAATGAGATGTGCGAGTGAAAATAAAGGACGATAAGGAAAATGTATGTCGGATGTGAATATCGAAAATAACAGGTGAGATAAGAATAATTTGTCGACGCGAAATATTTTTGTGAACAATTGTATCGCATTTTTTCGCAGGCATATTTTCACAACACTTGTCCGCGTCGCTCAGACACAGCAGTAGATTCTAATGATAATAGTTTACTAGCTTAAAGCGTATCTACGAATAAAGCACCATCTAATTACGTCTAAAATGCTTATTAAATGAGCTTCCCGGTGGCCATGCGTCACCCGCATGGGCTTTCGAGATCAATCATCATCGATCACAATAAATCGATCGCTAACGACGTGGCGTTTTCTCGCCTCTTAGAAATATTGCTTGATCAAGCGTTAGTGGTGTTACACTTAAATTGACTAGTACCGTTTGTAACATGTATCTCACACAACCATCTCAGAGGCTCTTGGTCTCTTAACAACCTTAGTGAAAGAGAGCGAGTAAAATTGTCGTCGCTCTCTTTGACGGCAAAGCTTGACTTCCTTTTGGTGTCGCTCGCAACATTGACTAGGTATTACGTGTCACTTGGTGGCACGATCTTAACTTTAACGCCAAATATTGTTAAATTCGCAGTATCTCACCCATTTTACAGTCAGTCGATGTACCCGCGTACTCGATGTTCGAGATGTATAAATGAGCTGCATCATGAATTCGAAGCACACGGGGGGAATCAATCGTTCGTCGAGAATTTTACGTCAGTTGCTAAAATGGCAAAAGTGCTAAAGCACTGACGATAAAACGCCTCTTTTCCGACGTGTGCAAGTATCGTCGTTGAGATAAATTTAATTCGAACTTGATAATAATTGGATATCAATATCGGGATGTTGCGTCCAATAAAAAAATGTTAAAATATTATTGCCGATCGCAAAAAAGACGCGAAACGTGGTAAAAGCGATTCATAATTTCACCCAACCTCCGAATCTCGAGTACGCTTTACAGAAGTTTTCGTGTCCTCACTTGATCATGATACTCACTGCCGTGGGTCCCTGAGAGATAGCGTTTTCCTTAGAGGCATCTTCGACCTCCTTGAGCTTCTCCTCGGCCTTACGTTCCTTCAAGGCCTTGAGCAGCTTCCACTTGGACCCAGGCGGGCCAGGACTCACCTGGCCCTCCTTCAATGTCGTGTCCGAGCTTCCGCAGGACGAGGAGTCGATCTTGATCTTCGGTAGACTCAAGGTCGCCGTTGTAGCTGTCTCGGCGCTACCGGCTCCATCGCGCTCGAGGCCTTCAAGGACAGTGCTTTCAGAATCCCAAGCTCCCGGGATGCTGACCGACACTTCGCTAGGTGGTACACTTACGCTACCTTCGCGGGATAAAGAATCCGAGCCCTGTGGCATCTTCTCGCTGTGACGTAGCGTCGAACCGTTGGAGCTTCGTCGTGACTGCTGCTCTTCGAGATCCTTCGGCAGCTCTTCTTCCTCTTCCTCGTCCATTGACTGTCCGGGACTGTCCGGACCGGATGTCTCACCAGAAGAACCTTCTTCCGTGGATGGTGGAGGCTTCTCCTTCTTAGCTTCTAACTCGTGCGCCCATGTATGGTAATCGGTCACCCTGGCGAATACAGCTTCCACACTTTCTGCAGATTTTCGTTTAGGAATAGGCTTTTCGTCGCGATATCTGCTATCGTTTTCTTCGAAGCGATGCTCTTTGATGACCGTACCGTTCATTCTGCCTCGCAATTCTTCCCTACCTTCTTTTCTTTGATCCTTTGGTTTCGTGATGGCTTTGAGCTTAAGCTCCTTCAATACAAACGACATCTTTTCTTTTACCGTTTCGTCCGGCTGGTAAACTTCTTCTTCAGGTTCCTCGATCAATGCTTCGGTCATCTCCATTTCGGATTGTCTTTCCAATTCTTCGAGTTTTCTTAATTCGTAACAGTACCATTCGTCTTCGGAATCAATAGAATCTTCTGTGCTTTGTCGTCTTGAAGACACTCTCGATGTGCTCCTGTATGAATGAGTGCTGCGATTATCCTCATCAGGTTCACCCGGTCGCGAACCAGTCCAAGGAATCTCTAGAGATTGCTGATGGCGAGGTAGAAATCGAGTTCCCCCTGTAGTATTGTAACCCCTTATGGACGCCGACGGACTGCCCTCCGACGGCGGAGCTTCTTCTGATAGACTGGTGACCAATTCCGGTAATTTTGCGCTACCAGACTTCTCGCTCTTCTCGCTTTTTTCTGATACATCCTCCGGATATTCAAAACTTGTTTCCAAAGTTTGCGTTGGACCCTCTTCGGATGGTCTCTTTTCGTTATTCTCGTCAATGACCAATTGTTCATCGGACACTGTCGAGGATTGTCGTTGGCGATATTTGCCGAGTGCTCGTGACACAGCGAATTCCATGCTCGAGCCACCAATCAAGGTAACCGGAGGTAATTTTGGTGCCTTCTCATTGGGAGCCTCATCCGAACTGCCTGTTGACCTCTTAATATCGCCAACGGTTTGAAAAATCGACGATCCACCGGATCCCGAGCCGGTACTCTTACCAGAAGCTTCTTCTTCGAGCATAGCCGTCTGGTCGCCATTCGTTTCATATTCGTTAATCTCGATTTTTCTTTGATTTTCTTTCTCTTTGGCCCACGTGTCTTGAAGAGCCTGTTGATGCAATTGCTCTTGGTGTTGTTGAATCTGCTGTTGGAGTGCTTGCTGCTGTTGTTGAAGCGCCTGTTGCTGCTGGAGTTGTTGCAGCTGTGCCTGTTGTTGCTGCTGTTGCATATATTCCTTTTGCTGCGCTTGAATCTGTGCTTGCTGTTGCTGCTGTTGTGCTATCATCTGCGGCGGCATCGGAGGCGGCTGCTTTCTTTTCGTGCTCGCGGTTTTTACTTTAGCAAAAAAAGGCGGTTCTTGAACGATATCAGATATGACACTGTCCTCATCTTCCGAGAGACCGCTTTGCCGACCACTGCTCCATTCTGTCTCAGACTGTTCCGGATCGGATAAAGATTGCGACTGATGACTGCGACGCTTGGCCTTCTGGAGAATGCCGGAGACCGTGGAAACCAGTGTATGTTTTTTCTTTTTTCTGGTCGTCTGAGCTCTGCCTCGACCTCTGCCTGTCATTTCAGCAGGTAATCTTTGCTGCTGAGCTTCTTGCACGTCTAGATCTTCTCTTCTGACACCACCTGGTAATGATTGACTTCTGTGACGTTTAGTGAGGTGCAAATCTGGTAGCCAATTGCTCATAGAGCTCATTGCGTTCTTCAGCGAAGAACCTCTTCTAATTTTCTTCGATAGTTTACTATTATCGACCTCATGATCTTTCAGATTCGAAGCGATACTGATGTATCCGGATTGCGAAACTATTACACTCGAGGCGTCATAATACTCGCTTTGCTGCGTCTGTTGTTGCTCCATGGATATTCTTCCACTCTCGTGATCTTGAATGTACTGATGTTCCCTTTGCCATTGTCTTTGATAACCATCCGCGAGTTGTGCGCTCTCAGCACTACTCAGTCGTTGACTGTATGGTTGATACTGTTGCTGGTAAGCTTGCGGATAATTCTGATTCGCGTAAATGTGATGCTGTTGATATGCCGAATGCGCTTGATAGGCCGGCGGCTGGGGATACCTTCGGTCCGTGTACGGACTTTGAGCGTAGCTCCCATCGGAAGTTAAAGACCTGATGCTGGAAGATGTTGAATCGTGAGGTATCTGTTCCTCCATAGAGTTCAGCCATGATGAACTCTCGTTTGTCTCTGTACGCGGCAGATTAGTCGCGCTAGTCGGATAGTACGAGAGAGCATCCGTGATGTTGCCGGTGGGGAACATCGTACGATACATCGCCGCTTTGTACCCTTCATGGTTTGTCATACCATCCGTAAAAGAGCTTCCACGTATTGGCTTTTTCCCATGAGCCATTATAGCGCCCGTCGTTTCCGTATACTGAAGAGTGCCGTAACTGTCTTGATAGTTGGTATATTGATGATCCATCGATTCGGAAGAAGAGTAATAAGCCGAGGTAGTAGTTTTGGGACCGTAACTTCCAGCACCGCTTGTATAGACACTCGTAATAGCTTGCTGTCGATTACTACCGGCCACGGAGTAAATAGCTGGTTGTTCCGATCTGTAAATATAATCCGCATTCGTACTGGAGGACGTCGCGTAAGTATGTTGTAAGCTCTGCTGACGACTGCGTTTTTTGGGACTCTGACAAGTAGTAGTTACACCCGGAGCTGGCGGTGGCACAAAAGTATAATCTTCTTTAGCCGGCGACTTGCTGGCGGTCGTATATGCGGACAAGTGATTCATTGTCGTTGTATAAGGATGACTGGACGTTGTCGTCATGGTACTCGCAAAGGCGTCTCTACCCTCGGGAGTGTCATAAAGAGGTTCCTGCGTGATAGTGGTGGTAGTGGTCGTTTCTGGAAGCGGCGGTATCGGACTGGATGTTCTGGCGGGCTGTGTACTGGGTATAAGATTACTCGTACGGGTGTGATCTACCGAATAAGAAGTCAGCATTTTAGCGATGGAGCTCTTCGGCGAACATGGCGATTTGTCTAAGCTGCTCCAGCCGCTCATAGAGGACAGACCGGAATCGGACTTAGCTGTGACTATGTTAACGGCACTGCTAGATTTAACGGCATGTTTCGGCGAGACTCGCGGTGATTTGGGCGACTGACGGGGACTGAGACGACCCTGTTCCATAGAGACCAGCTTTTCTGCGTTTCGCAGGAAACTCGGGCTCTGAGACCTCTTCGTTTCTGATTCTCTTTGTTCTGTGCCGGGCATAAGAAAGGTTTCGGTGGTGTCTCGCGGCGCTGGCGGAGGCGGTGAGCTAGGCGACGGACTGGGTGGTGTACGACTTTCCTGGAATTCAAGATTGAGCCGAGCTGCGCTGCCAAAGTAACCGTCCTGTCTGGTGCGGAGACCCTGGACACTGTGAACACTGTGTACGCTGCCGGCCGACAAAGTGGGCGACGATACTTTCTCGGTGGTCGTGCTGTAAATGTTGGGCGAGGCGCAGGTGACGGCGGTCGCGAAGCTCTCTGCCATCAGATCTGTCAGTTCCTTGTTCTCTGCGTATCCCTTCGCAAAGCTACCAACATCGATCGGCAACTGAATCACGGGCTCCGGACTCTTTTCTAGTATGGCCGATGTATATCCTAATCTAGGCGGGGTATAAGTAGTCGAAATGGAGTCTAAATTACTCCTGGACGTAGAGGTCAGTCTTGGCGATATAGATCTCGTTGTAAAGTCGCCATCGGTGGCCAATCCACTGTCAGTGCTGACTCTAGAGATCGATCTACCTGTGGAACTGGGACTTTTGGAGAAAGTCCAGCTGTCCACGTCAGTTTCCGCGTAAATCTTTCTCAGCTGTTCGTCTATGCTGCTTGCTTCCTCAGCAAGTTTGGCTTCGGCTTCGGACGCGTACTGGTTCCGTTTTGGCGAATCTATCAATCTCGATTGCAGTTCTATTAGATTTTGCGAATCCTTTTGCAACTTACTAGTTAGCCTATCTATCTCGTGCAATTTTTCTAATGCCACTTGATCGAGAGAGCTGAGTCTTGAAAGTTGAGCGAGATCTTGCTCACTGACGCACGGTGTGTTTCCTCTGTAGCTCTTATAATCGGCCGCGCTGAATACCTCACCCTCGTCTTCATCCGCCTCGTCTTCCTTTTTCATTATGGAAGTTTGCACTTCTTCCTTGGTCGGTTGGCTAGACAGCTCTTCCAGTTCTTTTTCCTTTGATATAGCTTTGTCGAATATGCTGGGCTCGATCTCCTTCTTACCGTTTATGTCCTCATCTTCAGCCTCTTCCCAGATCATACCCAGCTGCGACGTCGGTCTCGATGTATCGCCACAAATTAGATCTTCTCTGTAGGCGTTATTCAAGCTTCTATAGAATGCCTCGTCGGGAATGTTGCCCTCTTCCTCGAGGGTCTCCAAAGTGTCCAAATTCCTAACATTCCTATGCATGTCAGTGACCACAGCCGCGGCCGTTGTACTATCCTGCGTGAGTCCGTGCATCCTCGCCAGCTCCTGTTGAGCCAGTTTCTCCCGTATTACGGTGGTTTCCTCAATGCCTATCGCAGCACCCAGGCTCTTCGCTATCGCGTCTAGCTCGCCTACCGAGTCTTCTTGGTTGTCCAAAGTCTCCTCGACGATATTCACGTTGTCATGAGTACCACCACTAGTATAAAACTCGATCAGCTGGCTGATAACTGTCTGCTGCTCATATAACAGACCCTCTAACTTTTCTAATCTTTCCCACATTTTGATGTACTCCTGACTGAGAAGATCCAGCGCCCGCCAAGCATATTTCAACTCAGTTTCGAGAATGTTCAGTCTCGTACCTAGTCTCTCCATGTAATCGCCTATTATGTAATCAATATTACCGTCACCGGGCGCAGCGTAGCTCGGCAGGACTGGCGAATGAGTCCTCGGACTAGTCGGCGTTGGACCGCCCAACTTCGTCGAATCCATATTTCAGCCTTATCTGATCGCACTACGCGTCACACAAGTACTTTTATCGTAATTCTCTTAATTTTTCTTGTTTATTATGCGCCTATGTTTCTATTTGACGATCCCTGAGGCGATTCATCTTCGAGGCTCGCTTCCAAATCAAGTCACATCCCCCCTTGTGGACCAAGAAGGAACATGAATTGCAGCTTGGCGAACCTCACGGAGGCCATTGGTGTAGTCGAGTTTTTGGTCGTTGCGTCGTGTTTTATGATGATCTCCATATTGACTCGTTTCGAATTTTCACATTTCACACACAGTCTAACTATGTTCTACAATTTCTTAATCACTTTTATGTCTACATGTATCAAGTGTGTTTCTTCGCGTTCCGTTCTACAGGCTACACTGCGTACACAAAGTTTGGAAGTCGTTGAGATGCAATCTTGATTGAACGTTCAAGATCGCGCGACACTCTGCAAATGGCACTCTGTAACCAATCTCGTACGTTCATGCCGCCGTTGTTATCTGCAAAATATCAAAAACCAACCCGTGCGGCTTGGTATAAGGAATACCGAATACCAAGTCAACATCGAATTCTAAATCAACAGCTTCCATGGTGTTTACATTATTTCGATACATATCATCATGACATAAAGTCAAGATGTAAAGTCAAGATAGAGTTAGAAATATGACAAGGCATTTGCTTCACATCCACGAAGAAAAAAAGTTTTTAAATGTTTTGTATAGTCTAAATTCGTATTAAAATTAATCATCATAAATTGACTATAAGTGTGTGCCACATTATCAAGATTTCTGTTTAATTGTGCCTCGTTGGCCTCGATCTAAACTTAATAGCGATGAGAACCGCAACGAAATAGATCGAAATCCTGTCAAGTATATGTGGTCACTTGAATATTACATCGCGTGCTACGATAATATCGATTGGACGTATAATTAATGAAAATAAAGGATTTAAGAGAGGTACTTCATTTACACGTCATCGTGCTTATTGATCTAGCGCGACTCTACCTGGTGTCCTGCTGTAGATTTACCCATCGCTACTGATGATTATCAAAATAACTATCACGATCTGAAAAACTTGGCGATCGATCGTATCCAGATCCTGGATTCTCATCATAAACTGTCGACAAGTCATTTCTTTATTGCCGTTATTTTTACTTCGTACATATGTCGATATTTCTTTTTGTGCGTCTCTCCCACTGCAATTTATGCTAGACGGTACAGCGCAGACAAGATACTGCTTTTTATGATGGCAATGAAATTTCGTAATAATGGAAAAACGTGTCGTTTAAAGCTGCCCGAAATGATCGTGCAATCTCGAAAGTCGTTAACCTAATTTCGCGTGCATTATATAAAGCGTTAAAACAAAAGGAGTCGTAGATGATATATAATCCTTGATTGCTATGTCTCATAAATTCCTAATAATTGACAAAAAAAAGTCGATATAAGTGATATATCATTACATAAAACTTATTCAATCGACTGTTACTTAATACATATATAAATTGAGAAATATCGGTTTAGAATAATATAATACCCTGTTAGACATCAAATAACAATTGTCAATTAAAATAAAATTAATTAAAGCCCAATCTCTTGAATTAAATAATATTTTATTATTTTTAATTTTCATGTATATCAAAATATAAATCACTTCATTTCCATACAGCTACGGTTAGTTTTAATTGTTTTAAAATAAAATACGTCCATAACGCACTTAATAAATAATAAACTAAATTTACGTTAAATTTAACATATTTCTTTGAGTTAAATTGTTTAATACCATTGTTTTAATTAAATTATCGACATATTCAGTAGGAACAGTGGTGACCTACAGAAATGGTTAAAAATAACTCAAATTATATAGGTATAATTTATGTATAATTAGGGACATTTGTGAATTAAACAGTATACTTTGAACTTTTAAGTTTTCTTCAATTAAAAAGTACTAATGATAATGCCAGCGTATTAACATGCGCTATAAAATCACATAATTATCGTGATTTAAAATACCGCGTGATGCTTTGCTTCTGACTTTATTGAGATGAATTATTTCAGTCTCATCCTAACAGCAAGTGGGTTGCTATTTATGATCGTACATCAAGCGGCATGTGCGTTTATCACTCGAGCCCTTTTTATATTTTACACTCGGGAATCTAGCTCCATCGTTTCACGTGCTGCTAGCTTCCTATCGGCTTCCTTCCGGTTAAGCGAGCTGCCGCAAACCGCAGAAAAGAATACCGCCACGACGATATTGCGCTGAATATATGTCTACCGTAGACAGATTCTTCGCCAGATCAAAATGGGCATTCAAGAGTTGCATCACAAAAGAGGCGAACAGTTATATCACCATTGCGAGAATTCAACTCGTGGAAGATTCTTCCAGTTTGCAAATATTTCTCCTCGTCGCGTTTCTTCGCGCGTTGGCAAGCAGGAAATAAAATTCGTTTTATATGGCTCGTTTTAATATATCGCTCTCTTATAACGTTCTTACAATTCTTGCATGCGTCACGTTTTAACCTTCGAATAACGACGATATACAAAATTATCGTTGTTAATCACGTTAATTAATAGCTATTAATACACAACGGTTATTTACGTGATGTCGGAGTAAAAAGTTTTTTTATGAGCCAGTTATTTTTATTCTTACTCATGCGGTCGCTCTATGTTTTTCCAATATCAATTGTAGATGGTTGATGCAGATGGCATGTAAACATAGCAAAGGCGAATGAATATCGATTCAATATCTACTGCGTACCAACTTGAATGTTTATTGTGCTATATCCGTGTCACAGAAATTACTATTCGTAGTACAGTGGGCGGTTCATTCTTGATAGTTCTTCTGAAAGCTTTATATCTTTCACGTTACAAGATATTCATTACTGACACGGTAAGTGCCGTTCGATATCATTCGTTGCGACGAAGTTGTTTCCCTCGGTGCTTCCTTATATTCTCCATGAAAACGAGTGAAAAGCGAGGTGCGATGCAGTAATAAAACTAATCTCCGGGAACGTTTTCCAACTATTTCAGATTTTATTTTAAGCCGACTTAAGCCGCTTCGTAGTTAATTGAATTAAGAACAAAAGTTCGATGGATTGGCGACGAGAAATCTGTCGGAAATCGAGTATCTCGACGCAACAAGTCACGCCATACATCAATTATCTGATGTCCGTTGAATAGATTTTATTTGCAAAATTGTCCAAAAAATATATAAGTTGTTCTTATCAAAGAAGAATATCACTGCGAAATTGATCATAAATTAATATATTCGCTTGTATGATTGAATTTGTATCTTTTGAAGCTTCCACTGCACGGAAATTTCTACCTTTAAAAAGGATTTTCATGGCTCCATAGACAAAGTAAATAAAATATCAACCAGTAGCGAGAGACAGAATTTATTACATTTTATACATAAAAAGGATATTCTTTGATCTATAGAAAATTTGAGAATTGCAGCGTCTAATGTTTTTTTCTAATGTTTTCATAAATTTGGCTCACCTCATAAATTTCACAAAAAATCCCTGCCCGTTTTTTCATACAAAAATCGAGAAATTTATATTCTCTTATATTCTGTAAAATAACGTAATAATTTATTTATGCTTTCACGGTGTACGATATCGTAAGTAATATTTTAGGGTGAAATGATTTGTAGAAGAATTTATTTATATGTGGAAAAATTTCCGACAGAAAATAACGTAAAGCACTTTTAACTGGGTGAAACATCCCGTTAGAGAAAAACCTTCGCTCGGCCGCTTCTGAATAGCGTAAAAGACCATAATCTTGTTAAAAGGGGCCGAGATTAATTCACAACACGTCATGTATACCGAAAAATGGGACAAGCCTGCAGGGATTTTACAGGTTATACGTAGGAGATTTTCTTGTGTGCACATATTTATGGAGAAAAACATCCCCTTTGAAACACGCACATGACTGGGAGCAAGAGAGAGAATTCGAGTGCACTCCAGGATAAAAAAGAAAACTACTGTTATAATTACTCGTATTGTAGCGAAACTTCAGAGAAGTTACCACTTGCGTGGCATCTTGCTATATGCAGTTTAATGCGAACATAAATTTTAATTTTCAATTTCATCATGACACAATTGTTACTTAAGGTGCCTTTCCATTAATTGTAATTTTTCTCTTGGGATTTCCGTGAAAAAAACGATGTAAATTATTCTTCTAGTTTTCATGATGATATAAGAAAGACGAATTCGTAAATCTGCTTTCTTTAATTTCCGTAAATCATTTATAAATATATATAAGTAGGTGTATTTTCTTGGACCACTTTCTGCAACATACACACGATGTGCAATATCACAAACGTTTTATCAAAATGGTTGTGGTAATTAACCTCGTACAATGCGCAAAAAAACCTGTATTTTTCTCTTTCTCCTTTATTGCAGTTTCGTCCTGAACGTTTAGAAGCTGCAATAAAGGAAAAAGGGTACAATTTCTTTGCGCGAGGTTAATTGCGATATCATTTCTTGATAAGGTTTCTTAATAATACGAGCAAGTAATAAGTGTACTTATGTTGTCGAACGTCCCAATAACACAGATATTTTGATATATAGTTCGCGTAAAAATAAAAAAACAGAGAAACGATAATAATTACATCTAAGCCTTGATGATATCGTTGCTTTTACTCGAATCTTCTCTCACGCGCGTATTTTTTTATCCCTTTCTAAGAGGATCTACACACAGGTCGCGAAGGTTTCGTTGAAAATGGGATACAGGAGAGACCGAGTTAATCCTATTCTAGACGGAGAGAAAACGACTTCCCGCAGATGGCAGAATCAACTACAAAATTTATACGATGCTACAGAAGTTAGTTTATCGGGATAATGTCTCGTGCATATAGGCGAAATTTATCAAGCAACAGGTCTCTCTTTCTCGCTGTTATTATCAATAATTGTCATAAAACCATTCTTGCGTGGCAGAAGCCGGTGATCTTACCGGGTCATTGAAACAAAAGAATTAATCTGTATAATTCCGTCGATGTACAA